GATCATAACCACACAATCCTCAAAGCTGGACACGACATTACTTGGAAAATAGATATTCAGTATTTAATGCGGAGAAATACCTAACGATGGAAAAGGTGGGAACAATAGGTTGAATAATTCAGGGTTGATCGGATGGCATGGCTCGGACATGCAGGCGTGGTCCCTGCGGAATGTTACCTAATATCTTTTAATCATATGAAATATATTGTTCTTTCTCTAGCCCAAGCTTGTTCTCCATCACATATTGGTAGTTCTTACGATACAGTGAATTAGTGTAGACGAAGATGTGACTTCCACGTAAGATCTTATAGATTAGGCAGCTATATCATGACAAATCTACGATTTTAGGATTAGGTCTATTATTAGAGCAGTACTAAAATCGCAGTAGACCATAATTCTACAGTTTAAAGCGTATCGGTAATAGTTGGGTATCTATTTTCTTTTAAAAGCAAGGTAAGCGATGTAATACTCCTTCTTCAGGTGCATCCTCCAAGTCTATTAATAATATACTTCAGTAAAATTTGCGATGTACGTTTCACTATAGTGGAAAATCTAAGTTACCATTAAAAAAAGATAGTAGTCTCCTGCTCACATTTTTAACGAAATTGTCTGGATCCCTTGAGATCTTAACGAGCAATATCAAACTGTTACAGCAATATGATGTTCTTGGATCAGATATCCGAAGCAAGAAATACCAAGAAGATGAACGAACAACGAAAGCAAGATTCAACAGGGCAGATACAAGAGCCAGAAAAGGTCGTGACATGCAATCGAACGCAAATAATATTCAGAATTTCAAGACAGCAACGTTCTGAACGTAACAGATTATTTAGCTAGTTATGAAGCACACTTAAGTAGTATTACGAGTTAATGCTTATTTGAGACATCGACCCCATTTTTTTAGTTCTAGTGGTGTGCTGAAATTTTCTGTTGAACCTCTTTTAAGTGTATGAGTTACGCAAACAATTTGAGGTCTGTTATGGCTTTGGATCTTAACTACACGATTTCTGGAGCTGTACCTGAAGTAACAGATGCGGTTTTCATCAGAAGGGGAAAGCTTTGAGAAAGTCAGAAATGAGGGGGAAACACTGAATCGGTATGAAATGTTTTGGTAATGTGAGTGTGGTCGCTCTATATGGCCCCATGTCTTTGCAATAAATATATTACCCCGTCTCCCACCCGAGCGTGTTCTTCAGGATTCTTCGGCTGCAACTGCCGGTTGCCATGATAGGACTAGTAAGTATAGACAGAGGTGTGACACGTAAGATCCGATAGATTAGATAAGCACATCATTGCACGTCCACAATTTAAGACTAGGTTTCGTCATTCTTGTGCCAATGATGTGTGCTCTGATAGGACTTAAGCTTAATCGAACAGCATCTCACAGTTAGAACTGCAGCAAAAGAAAAAGTGTAAACATTGGCCCCTCTTTTAAAGTTGCAATCTGATAAGTTCGAGTACCAATAAGTGTAAGCATCGAAATATTTATCAAAATGGTTAAGAGGGCGTAATTTACTCGATAAAACATCCCCCTTGACCCTACATTACTTTTCCTCAACAAAAGATAGGAAACGTACCTCCAGACTTTCAATGCAGAGTTCACTTATCATAGATACAATACCTTTTCACCTTTCGCACCAATTCATGTTGCCGCAGCCATGCTATCACATACATTTATTTCAAATAGCTTAGAATGTGTGTATAAAACGTTTGTGATTGTTTGGTACCCAATGAAAGAAGTGCTTTTCAGGCAACCTACAGCTTATGGAAGCGAGACACCGTCGTTTCATTATTCTTGATAGTCATGATGAACAAAACGAATGTAAAATACATGTGCATAAAGAAAGGTCATTCACAGTGGCCGACAATATTCTCGTTATCTTAAAAGCAGACTTCTCAAACGATCCCGTCCGTATTAGTTTATGGAAGCGTTTGGCTATGGATATGAGTCCTTCATATATGCTCGAATGGCGGAGGAGTTGTCGACTGTTGCGACATGATTAATAAGTGATAGCCACATGTTGCTCTGAAGTTACAATTTTATTACGTAAGTAATAAAAGCCGGTCAGTTACGTATTTTCAGCTTCAGACAGAAATCTCTACGTGGCAATTTCGCTGCATAATCATCATTGTCTACAGGATGCAAAATGTTGAAGTGATCTATATAGTTAATGTGAAATTCTGCCGCAACAAGTTTTGAATAGTGTATTTTTTATTAATTATTGGAATATTGACATATTGACATATCACAAACCGGTATGAGGTGAACCGGATATCGCAGTTTGGATAACACATCATTGCTTTTACAAATAAATATCCGTTTAACATCGTTTTTATGATTTGTTTAGTATGGTCTTCATCACTTCATTCACAAATAAGAAACATATTAGACGTCTATGTTGATATCTTATCAAGTAGTTTATAGATGCGACAGATAATTATGCACACGTCAAAATACTTGGTAAATCTTGTAAAATCTATACAATGCATATCGGTTACTAAACGTGAAAACTTAAAACTACGATCATCATACAAGTAGCTGTCCTAAAATGTAACAATAAAAATTACACTATGGTATACCGTAGCGAAGAAATCGCAGTATTTAATTGGGAACGAATGCATAAAAACATATTCGGATGTCGGTTTACCCTAGACGAAACATATTTCTGAGTATTCATTCTCATGTTTGTGCAAAAAATATGAATTCGCAATGTGGATGAAACACTTCATTTTTATATAGAAAATCTTGGTATTGCCGGACTTCTTTTAAAATGACTTAAGGATTCCCTGGTAGGTTGTAGACAGAATGTAAGAGTAAATCGAAGAACTCACCTGGGAACCAGTATTTATTGGAGTAACTGTGATAATTGGGAGTGTTAGAATTATAGTATAAACTAAGAATCCCAGAAATAACGCAATTGAATCAAGAAGTACTAGACATCACGAACAAATGTTTTGTATTTGAAATTCGAAATCAAGCATTCGAGAAGTACAAAAGGTTCATTATTTTATTCAAACACCACAGTACCACAAGATTATGTGCCAGGTTCTTTACTTTTTATATCACTTCTCAAGTATAGTTGAGTCCCAAGTGTTATTGCACGGTGGTGATGTATACCCGTACAATTCCAGAATTCCGGGGTTTACCATACAAAGTGCGGCTTAAAAGGTTGACCACATTTCTCTGTCCTATCGCAGCTTAAGAGGTGATCTGTTTTTAATGCATAGAATACTAAGAAGTGATTTTGAACCCAATATATCCTCTCTTTTTTATTATAACTAGGTCGGGACATCTCGAAGGATAGAGATGGGGAATACAAAAGCCAAGAACGAACAAAACACCTGTGGCATTTAGGTTTTAACACCGAGTCGGCGAGACTATAATTTACGGACGGCCTTGGAACGAATCTGTATGACCTTGAGAAATATTAGCCAGTCAGCAAACAGTTACCATAGAGTAAAAATGTATTGCACAAAACCAAAGAAATAAAGTGGATACATTTATTATACATGGTTCAAAAACCTGTCAAAGTAAGAAAGAGGTTCAGAAGTTCTAAAATCGTTCCGTGCAGTAGAGGAAATCATCCATATGGCTACAGAATAGTCGGTTTCTGGAACCATGATAAGGTCACAAAAGCTATTTCAGCCTCGACCACATAGCTCCAATATTGTTTGTGGGCACTCTAGCTGTTGAGTGCACACAATGCCACTTGTGGATAACAACACGATGCACATGACCAAGTCTACGTATGAGTCTGTACGCTCTGCAATTATCCGTATGTATTGTAGTACCTGGCTGCAGCCAGTGTTACGAGTGCTTTTACTATCCAGTTCGCAATAATTGTCATAATTTGCAATAGTTAGGAATTATGTACGGGGGTTTCACCATGAACTGACATCAGCTATAATATTATAGCTTATGGTATATGTCAAAGCTCTATTTAACCAAATGGATGAAAGACTTTCGTGCCAAAATCCGAAATCTGTTATCTTATATCTGATTGTTTCCTCCACAAATTATAGTCTCGCCATTTTATTGATTACAGCTGCCCAATTATCACGTTTTGCATGAAATCCCCTGTGAACGTTAGCATTATGTTGTAGCGGTAAATAAATCCCCAAAATAAATAGCTCTGTAAGTTTTCAGTATTGGATGCTGACCAAATTAGTTTTAATGAACTCACCTAGCTGAAGGCGCTCGGTCATGCATCGGCACCAGATCACGAGTGGGAACGCCGTGCCCAACAACCCCTGCAATCGCTGGCCAGATTGAATCAGACGATCCTCGATATATTGATAGCCTATCAAATATATCTTCGAACCTTCTCGCTTCTGTCTTTTGATTTCACTTGGTGGGTAAGATTCATATTAAGTGTTACTGGTTAAAGCGTTGTCAAACTTAGAATACCTTTGGCATCTTCGATGTACTAAAGTTGGCGCCGTGACCTTGAAATCCCTCAAACGCTTCTGATTGGTTCGTCCATAAATTAGAGTCTCGCCGACTTGACACAGAAGTATACTATATAAGGAATAACATAGACTGTAGGCCTTCTGTCCTTACTAATAAACATATCTGAGCCTGAATCTGAGATATTAGAACATTTTACTCCGGTTTTACAAAGACAACTAAGCTCACATACAGAACATAAGGTTACGACGATCCATAAAATTGTATCGGATTTTCTCAGTCCATTCTGTTACACACAGACTATAGTTAAGGATGAACGGTTATTTTGAATTTGCAGTTACGTCTAGTGACGTAGTCGAAAGAGTGAATACAGAAGTCTGGAAGATGGTTTAAACATGAGTCAGGTAATCATTCAGTTGATATGTCCTGGAAATCAGTGTCTCTTATGCAGTTTTGTCAACTACTTGATTTCTAGCCGACAATATGTAAAAAGCATCCTTTTTTTACCAGTTAATGACTTAAAAATCTTAAAGTACATTGCTAATGCCTCAGTGATTTTGAAGGTCACTGGAAGGACGTTAACGTGGTCACTGATTTGAAATTTGAATACGGTAGTAAGTTATCCTGCAGTGTCGTACTTCGTTCTGGCTACTATATTTCCGGTTTTTCTTACTTCAAATTCCTCAATAAAGCCCTCAATTTAAATCCATCGCTTTGGTTTTTGTCAGTCACTTCGAATGCCTTAAGAATCTTGCATTCACGATCAAGTAATTTACCAATTATCATATTGATTGGTATTTAGTTTAGAGGTAAAATATGAACTATCAGAGGTTCTTATCATGGTCACTTATTACTTTGGGATGTGATTGTTGTTAATTTAATGGTCATTACTTGCTCACAATAGTGTAGCTATAGCTACATATGTAATGATGAGTTTGTTCGCGGATTCGTTCTTCGAAATATTCTATAGTCCTGTTTCTGTATTCAAAACAAAATTTAAACTGTCCAACGATTATAAAGTGGAAATGTAATCAAGTGTTTAAGACATGGGTAATTTCTGGCTCGTATTGGACTATTAATCTGTATAGTTGGATTAATAAGGAAAAACAAAATGCGTCTTGGTTGATAGTTTTATAGCTACTGTGAATATTATATCGTCGTTTTTTTCAGGACAGTTCATAGTCACTGTCACTACCTAGCATAATAATAACCCGTAATGTATTACAATGGAAATCTTTGTTAGGATTTACCTAGAGCGCTCACAATATTAGTTATCTGAATGTTAACTGGGTTCTACTCATAAGTGAGTTGAGACCAACCGAGACATTACATATTAAGGTTCATCTGTGGTATCGTAACTGCATCCGTAGCCGGTCAGTAGTTCATGGGGTGCTTAGTCAGCTCTGTCAAATCACACTCTTAGAGTTAAGTCTAAGTAGTCTTTATCATTCAGCGGTCTGTTATTTGGTAATAAACGTCACTACCAATTTCTTGGTTACTATATTAAGTTGTCGGCACAAAATATGCAACAATGCATTGCATGCTTGTCCTATATCCATTTGGCCCGTGAATGTCCAAAGAATAATGTATGAGTTCTTTAACAGTGATGAACTGTCATTTATGTCTATCTAATAACTAGTTTTGCTCTTATGAATTTCTTTCGAACATAATACATTTGGTACTTGGTTTCAACTCCCATAACTTTTGTTTCTACAAAGTACAGACAAGAAAAAAGGTATTGTAGACGCCACAATGGTTCCTGCAGATGTCTTTTTTAGTAATTATTTTCTTGAATATTTTGTAAATATATAAAAGCGCATGAGTTGATAATAACCTAGATCTCATCATCCGAAGGACAAACATTCACTCCATAATATACAAAAACGTGACATCACTTTACCTCAGACAGTCAAAATCGAGTGACCCTTTTTTCTCTTTCCAAAAACATCTCACTGGATTATACTCCTTAAATAACATCTTCAAACTCTAATTTTTCTGATTACTGCTTATAATTTCCCTACCCCTACCACAACGGCATTTGAATCGACAACTGCATCTCTGTGACAATCACAGAGGAATAAGCTTGACTAGTGTATAGTGTATAAAATATTAGCTTCAATAATACTTCGACGCCTAACCAAAGCTCGTGAAGAAGAGACTAGAGAAAATCAGGCTGGTTTTCGACCTGGACGTGGTTGTACAGACCAGATATTCACACTACGTCAGGTCCTAGAACACAGACACACATTCAGACGCCCCACAATGGTAGTATTTCTCGACCTTAAGGCGGCATTCGACTCTGTTGATAGTGAGGTTCTATGACAGTGTTTGTCACTGAAAGGAGTGCCAAAGAAGTACATTAACCTTGTAAAGGCTCTCTAATCGAACACAATTGGTAGAGTGAGAGCTTATGGCGAACTGTCATCAGAATTGATTACCTCAAGTGGTGTTCGTCAGGACTGTCCACTCTCTCCATTCTTGTTTAACTTGGTCGTCGACGTGCTTTTAGAGATGACGCTTTCCTCATCTGACTTTCCAGGGGTTGAACTTCTACCAGGAGATTCACTTGTTGACTTGGAATATGCCGATGACATAGTTCTATTTGGTGAAGACGCTGACAAAATGCAGTCTTCTGACCACTCTAAGCAACAATGCAAACATGTTCGGCATGCGAGTCTCCTCCTCGAAATGCAAAATTCTGCTTCAGGATTGGGTTGCATCGGCACCCGAACTAATGATAGGGAGTGAAGTAATTGAGTGTGTCGACCGCTTCATTTATCTTGGAAGTTTCATCAGCCCTTGTGGTCTGGTGTATGACGAAATCTCAGCACGAATACAGAAGGCTCGACTAGCTTTTGCCAACCTGCGTCACTTATGGAGTAGGCAAGATATCCGTTTACCAACCAAAGGACGTGTTTACTGCGCAGCAGTCCGTTCTGTCGTACTTTGCGGCAGTGAAACGTGGCCGGTAAGAGTAGAGGATATTCCTAGGCTACTAGTATTCGATCATAGATGTCTTCGAAACATTGCTCGTATATCATGTAACCGTCGAGTAAGTAATGCAGTTGTTAGGAAACAGGTACTAAGTAAGGATGACAAATCAATTGATGACGTAGTGAAACTTCAGCAGTTGAGATGGCTGGGACATGTGTTACGTATGCCCAACCACCGACTGCCTCGATGTGCTATGTTTTGTTGTATAGGAGTAGATTGGAAGAAAGCTAGAGGCGGCCACACCAAAACATGGCACAAATCGATGAAGTCACTGACAAGTGGACTGAGTCATGTTGGTAGGTGTAGACTACCTGGTTGGGGATCGCGAGATGATATCAACCGATGGTTAGAGACCCTGAATTACATACCTCAAAATCGTTTGCAATGGCGCAGATGCATCCACTCTTTGTGTTCTCCCAAATTCTAATCTTCTGAATTCTTTATGTCCCTTTTCTTTTGTCTTTCCAAATTTATTTCACTGGATTATACTCCTTAAATAACATCTTCAAACCCTAATTTTTCTGATTACTGCTTATAATTTTCCAACCCCTACCACTACGGGATTTGAATCGACAACTGCATCTCTGTGGTAATGTGGTGTGGCAACTCGAACTGATGTGCGTACGTACGAAGTTCTACGTTGTTACTGACTGACTGACTGACGCTGCATGAGGGGCAAATCAAATGACTGGTTCACAGTTGTGCTTGCTTATTTTCGTATGATGTACCAAACAACACGAAGCGTTTATAAACAACCAACCAAAAATATTTTTATTCGTCATTATTTGCATTAAGAAACTCACTCCAACTGTCATAATTCGATTCTCTTTAACTGATATGTTCTATTTAACAAACAGCATACCAAATCTCTTACAAATTATTCTATAATGCGAAGACGACAACTCGTTTCAACCAGTTTAACAGGTGAATTTGTACACTTTATACACTATATCAATCATTATAGTGTGGATAAACTCTAATCGTAGCTGTAACGTTCATGTGGTTATCGGGCTTAAAAATCGTAACGACCCAACCAAGCTACATTGGCTGGAACACGTGTTACTTTACGTCCGACCATCCCAAGCATATAGATTGGAGAGCAGTAAAATGAAACTCATAGTCTGAAGGCAACGTCTTACTTCTTATCATAGAGAGGTGTGACGACATCACTCTTTACCCCAGACAGTCAACATCTAAAGCTATCTTACCTTCCCACAACGGAAGGAGGCATCAGGAACGTCAACTGTGGAAACAAAACACACTACCTTGCCTCACGGATTCCCAAAATAGACAAACATCCTTGAAAAGTATGGAGCTAGCACCTCTAAAACTACTCACTGAAAGGTCGTGTTTAACCAGCTCCAATCAGTTATTGCTTAAGTAACTGTAATCACGCTTCCAAGTCACTAACGTCACTAAAAACCCGATTTCCGTATCAGGTCCCTCCAAAGGAGTATCTTTTATGGTATGGAGTGACAACTTAACTACTAAGTTGTTATAGTTATATTTTTGGTCAAAATTTGTCAGCGCCTACTCTTATTTTGTCTTTCAAAATGCAGATCTATCCCGGAAAAGTATCTTCAAACATTTTAATTCCAGGCGTGTTAAATAAGTTTTCACTATGCAAGTAGAGTATAAATTCGATGTGGATTATGCCAAAAGTAACAGATCTAATTGCAATAAATGCAGAGTTGAAATCGACCAAAATTCTCTGCGTATCGCCATGTTGGTACAAGCACCGAATTTCGACGGGAAAATCCCCAGATGGTTTCATTACGATTGTTTCTGGAAATCGAAAGCGCATGTTGAGAGTACTGCTGAGATTAAACATTTCGATTCCATTCGTTGGGAAGATCAAGAAAAAATTAGGTCTGCAATCAATAGTGAAATCGGTTCTTTAAAGCCAACCAAAACCCGTAAATTCACTGTGAAGTTATCAGATGGGGATTTATCGTGTCCTCATTGCCAGAAACCACTAAAGCATGTGAGTATTTAATTTGTGTGTAATGTTTGGAGAACGTCTTTATTAGTTTGTTATTTTTGTGTCGTTTTCTGCCAGTTGCAAGACAATTTATTTATTTAGTAAAAGGCCTGTTTCCAAGAAACTGAAGTCGCTTCAGAAGGATTTGTTGCTTTCGTCCATTTAGGAGTACTTGTTATATGGACTCACAAGTCTAATTTTTAGGCTTCATTGTCGATTATTTTTTGGGTTACTGTACACGTAGTGTTCATGTAATCAAGTAGAACTTTTAGAAGACTCAACGTTTTCTGACTTTTTCTCGGAATGTTTTAACTGTTACCGCTTTTTCTTTGTTTGCTATGTTAAGCTTGTCTCTGTTTTGGTAATCGGGACCGACCAGGTAAATACTGAATTGTGTTTGTGACAGCAATAGTCACATTTATGGGTGACTCAATGTGTACAATAAGTATAATCTGAAGATGAAATCTTGCTTGTCTAACGTCCTCTCGTACTTCCCTATGATACTGCTTTGGGCAACAAGAATATAGGAAAACTATGAACGGGTATTATTGCCGTCAAAATTTATTTACTTACTCAATTGGTAACGGAGTCGTCTCAGGATTTATCATGGGAAAGTTTGAGATTTGTTGAAATGATAAACAGACTGCTGATAAGTGCTGCTTACGAGATGGAATCTCTGGTATAAGTTCTCACAATTCTATCAACCCGTTCATCCTAATGGTGCATCCAGCTCCTCAACTGACTAAAGTTGTCATATCAGCTAGTCAAAACCAGTTGTCCTCATATGCTTTACTTTTCGCCATAAAAGTCAGTATGATTACAGAAACGAGTTCCAAGTACTACCGAGCCCCCAAATGTCCTGGTACAGCCGAGAGTGGGGAGAGTCCGCTCTCCCTCTCGAAATGCTCTCACATGGCCACGCGTATATAGCCTCTGTCAGGGAAGTCCTACTCACTGCCTTCTCGTGGCGGTGGTGTTGTTCACGGAAATGAGAGAACGAAAAGCGTATGTCCGGCGCTTTAACCGGGTCGGTGGACACGGAGAGTCCGCCTAGGGGAGTTGGAAAACCCTGATTCCAAACCAGTGGTGTAAATGGGGTCCAGCATCCTGAGGGAACAAATCGTGTATGGACTAATTATTTTTTACCGGCTATCATGGGACTGCATCTCCTTACGTTTCTCCACTGCCTTGTGGACCAGACCTTAAGGTCGAATGTTTTAGGTGTGGCCCCTGAGAAAATCACTTGTTTTGGTTTGGGCACCCGGACAGTATCCCAGCCCTTATACAAATCGAGTGATTTATGTAGCGCATATCTGTTTGGTGCCTCCAATATCTACCAATATCTATGTGTTCAAATAAATAAATAAATTACTGTATATCTTCAACTACTGGTTACAGTTTACATGCGCACATCCACGAGGTAGGCTTATCTCACTAGCATGAATCGAATCAATTAGTCATACACATTGGTTTGATCACTTCTACCTTTCTCCCAACCTATACACAAATCATCCATCATTGCATGTAAAGATAGTCGGTAGTTGGGCATACGTACTACATCCCAATCGTTCTAGCCGATGGAAGTCCAGTTTATCAACATCCACTTTACTTCTCCATTGTTATTATTGATCTATACCTCCCAAAAAAAAGTATTCGATAAAAATCATCTCTATAGCTGTATGGTCTAATTCAACATAATCGGGAAGTTTAATTGGCAATTAAATATATATTTAAAATTTACTCGAACTCTGTAATCAGTGTATATATTCTAAGAAGCTTTAATGACAATTCAAATTCCACAGGAACGTCATACAGTATGTGAATCTGGAAAAAAGCCAACATTCATGTGTCACCTATCCTGTTTTCTTAAAAGTAATGAGTGTCCAGAGGATATTTCACAGTAAGTGATTAACAGTTTTTTATCCTACTTTCAAAAAATATATATTTTTTATGTTCGAGTGAATATAGATTTCATTGAATTCATTTTCAGACTGCGATACCAACTTACAAAATGCCTTGCATATTTTTGTTCATGTAAATATCAGCCACTCCACAATACAAGATAGTCTGCTTTAATAATGTTTGCTTCACTCGGTGTCCTTGACTTCTTTCATCTTACGTAATGATAATGGTAGTTAAAATGTACATTTATAGATTTTTCATTAAACTTAGTTTCTGTGATAAGACACTAGTTGGCATAGTTGATACCTAACCAGTGATTCGTATGTTTTAACATGTAGCAAGGTACGGTTGTGTAACAGATTATATTATTCGTTTAGTTAGCCTGAGCCGAGCTGCTTGGCTTGATATTCCGCCTTGCAGTAGTGATGATGGCTTACATTAACTAATTTGGCTACACTCAGACTCTGTGTTTCACGAATGTTGTAGACAGAGGCCGATATGTAGCGTACATGTACTATGTGGTTTCTCGGCTTTATAATTCCTGAATGTCAAATATCTTGGCAAATAATAAATCGTTACATTATTGTGTGTCAAGTAATTGGTTCGCGTTTTTTATAGATATTTGTTATTTTCCGTGTTTTAGAAGAATAGTTTTGCATAAATTTATTCTCCGTCAATCAACTGTTCGTCTCCTTGTGTTTAAAGAATTTACCAAAGGTTTTTTGGCTAACAATCAAACTACTGTTTCTTGATTGTATCAATCTTAAAATCCTACAATGGTAAACGAGGTGTTCTCGAGCACCTCTGAAGACCTGAGGGCAGTTATCATTTCCAGGTTCTCCATACCATAAAAAGATACTCCTTTGGAGGGACCTGATACGGAAATCGGGTTTTTAGTGACGTTAGTGACTTGGAAGCGTGATTACAGTTACTTAAGCAATAACTGATTGGAGCTGGTTAAACACGACCTTTTAGTGAGTAGTTTTAGAGGTGCTAGCTCCATACTTTTCAAGGATGTTTGTCTATTTTGGGAATCCGTGAGGCAAGGTAGTGTGTTTTGTTTCCACAGTTGACGTTCCTGATGCCTCCTTCCGTTGTGGGAAGGTAAGATAGCTTTAGATGTTGACTGTCTGGGGTAAAGAGTGATGTCGTCACACCTCTCTATGATAAGAAGTAAGACGTTGCCTTCAGACTATGAGTTTCATTTTACTGCTCTCCAATCTATATGCTTGGGATGGTCGGACGTAAAGTAACACGTGTTCCAGCCAATGTAGCTTGGTTGGGTCGTTACGATTTTTAAGCCCGATAACCACATGAACGTTACAGCTACGATTAGAGTTTATCCACACTATAATGATTGATATAGTGTATAAAGTGTACAAATTCACCTGTTAAACTGGTTGAAACGAGTTGTCGTCTTCGCATTATAGAATAATTTGTAAGAGATTTGGTATGCTGTTTGTTAAATAGAACATATCAGTTAAAGAGAATCGAATTATGACAGTTGGAGTGAGTTTCTTAATGCAAATAATGACGAATAAAAATATTTTTGGTTGGTTGTTTATAAACGCTTCGTGTTGTTTGGTACATCATACGAAAATAAGCAAGCACAACTGTGAATCAGTCATTTGATTTGCCCCTCATGCAGCGTCAGTCAGTCAGTCAGTAACAACGTAGAACTTCGTACGTACGCACATCAGTTCGAGTTGCCACACCACATTACCACAGAGATGCAGTTGTCGATTCAAATCCCGTAGTGGTAGGGGTTGGAAAATTATAAGCAGTAATCAGAAAAATTAGGGTTTGAAGATGTTATTTAAGGAGTATAATCCAGTGAAATAAATTTGGAAAGACAAAAGAAAAGGGACATAAAGAATTCAGAAGATTAGAATTTGGGAGAACACAAAGAGTGGATGCATCTGCGCCATTGCAAACGATTTTGAGGTATGTAATTCAGGGTCTCTAACCATCGGTTGATATCATCTCGCGATCCCCAACCAGGTAGTCTACACCTACCAACATGACTCAGTCCACTTGTCAGTGACTTCATCGATTTGTGCCATGTTTTGGTGTGGCCGCCTCTAGCTTTCTTCCAATCTACTCCTATACAACAAAACATAGCACATCGAGGCAGTCGGTGGTTGGGCATACGTAACACATGTCCCAGCCATCTCAACTGCTGAAGTTTCACTACGTCATCAATTGATTTGTCATCCTTACTTAGTACCTGTTTCCTAACAACTGCATTACTTACTCGATGGTTACAGGATATACGAGCAATGTTTCGAAGACATCTATGATCGAATACTAGTAGCCTAGGAATATCCTCTACTCTTACCGGCCACGTTTCACTGCCGCAAAGTACGACAGAACGGACTGCTGCGCAGTAAACACGTCCTTTGGTTGGTAAACGGATATCTTGCCTACTCCATAAGTGACGCAGGTTGGCAAAAGCTAGTCGAGCCTTCTGTATTCGTTCTGAGATTTCGTCATACACCAGACCACAAGGGCTGATGAGACTTCCAAGATAAATGAAGCGGTCGACACACTCAATTACTTCACTCCCTATCATTAGTTCGGGTGCCGATGCAACCCAATCCTGAAGCAGAATTTTGCATTTCGAGGGGGAGACTCGCATGCCGAACATCTTTGCATTGTTGCTTAGAGTGGTCAGAAAACTGCATTTTGTCAGCGTCTTCACCAAATAGAACTATGTCATCGGCATATTCCAAGTCAACAAGTGAATCTCCTGGTAGAAGTTCAACCCCTGGAAAGTCAGATGAGGAAAGCGTCATCTCTAAAAGCACGTCGACGACCAAGTTAAACAAGAATGGAGAGAGTGGACAGTCCTGACGAGCACCACTTGAGGTAATCAATTCTGATGACAGTTCGCCATAAGCTCTCACTCTACCAATTGTGTTCGATTAGAGAGCCTTTACAAGGTTAATGTACTTCTTTGGCACTCCTTTCAGTGACAAACACTGTCATAGAACCTCACTATCAACAGAGTCGAATGCCGCCTTAAGGTCGAGAAATACTACCATTGTGGGGCGTCTGAATGTGTGTCTGTGTTCTAGGACCTGACGTAGTGTGAATATCTGGTCTATACAACCACGTCCAGGTCGAAAACCAGCCTGATTTTCTCTAGTCTCTTCTTCACGAGCTTTGGTTAGGCGTCGAAGTATTATTGAAGCTAATATTTTATACACTATACACTAGTCAAGCTTATTCCTCTGTGATTGTCACAGAGATGCAGTTGTCGATTCAAATGCCGTTGTGGTAGGGGTAGGGAAATTATAAGCAGTAATCAGAAAAATTAGAGTTTGAAGATGTTATTTAAGGAGTATAATCCAGTGAGATGTTTTTGGAAAGAGAAAAAAGGGTCACTCGATTTTGACTGTCTGAGGTAAAGTGATGTCACGTTTTTGTATATTATGGAGTGAATGTTTGTCCTTCGGATGATGAGATCTAGGTTATTATCAACTCATGCGCTTTTATATATTTACAAAATATTCAAGAAAATAATTACTAAAAAAGACATCTGCAGGAACCATTGTGGCGTCTACAATACCTTTTTTCTTGTCTGTACTTTATAGAAACAAAAGTTATGGGAGTTGAAACCAAGTACCAAATGTATTATGTTCGAAAGAAATTCATAAGAGCAAAACTAGTTATTAGATAGACATAAATGACAGTTCATCACTGTTAAAGAACTCATACATTATTCTTTGGACATTCACGGGCCAAATGGATATAGGACAAGCATGCAATGCATTGTTGCATATTTTGTGCCGACAACTTAATATAGTAACCAAGAAATTGGTAGTGACGTTTATTACCAAATAACAGACCGCTGAATGATAAAGACTACTTAGACTTAACTCTAAGAGTGTGATTTGACAGAGCTGACTAAGCACCCCATGAACTACTGACCGGCTACGGATGCAGTTACGATACCACAGATGAACCTTAATATGTAATGTCTCGGTTGGTCTCAACTCACTTATGAGTAGAATTCAGTTAACATTCAGATAACTAATATTGTGAGCGCTCTAGGTAAATCCTAACAAAGATTTCCATTGTAATACATTACGGGTTATTATTATGCCAGGTAGTGACAGTGACTATGAACTGTCCTGAAAAAAACGACGATATAATATTCACAGTAGCTATAAAACTATCAACCAAGACGCATTTTGTTTTTCCTTATTAATCCAACTATACAGATTAATAGTCCAATACGAGCCAGAAATTACCCATGTCTTAAACACTTGATTACATTTCCACTTTATAATCGTTGGACAGTTTAAATTTTGTTTTGAATACAGAAACAGGACTATAGAATATTTCGAAGAACGAATCCGCGAACAAACTCATCATTACATATGTAGCTATAGCTACACTATTGTGAACTGCTCTCCCTCGCTTCAGATTTCCCATGGCTTTTCAACTTCGTAAAGAGTTGAAGAACCTACATTAACTTGCCATTCAGGTTGACTGGAGATCATGGGAAACTGAAGTGTGGCTGAGGGTCAGTTGAACTGATCCCTATAGTGTTTTGCCCATCGATCCAATCTCCTGGATTGAGAATGAATAATATGTCCATCTTTCTCTGAGAGTGTTTCGCTAACTGTCGGGTTCCTAATTCCGGTTTCTTTAACGAGTCTGAACAATTGTCTGCTATTACCTATTGCCGCTGCCTTTTCCATCTCTCTTGCTTTCGTTACCCACCACTGTTCACGATCATTGCGTAGGCTTCTTGTCAGCTTGCGCTTAAGCTGACTCCGCTCTTCATTATGTTCAGAGTCAGGTGGAATGAGTTTCCGAGCATCTATCAGTGCGATAGATGCTGCTGAGATCCAGTGTTTCTCCCTAACCTTGTGGTTTACCTTACAAGCAGATATCACTGCCGTTTCCACAGCTTTTCGGATATCATTCCATGCTGCCTCAGGGTGGGCATCACATACAAGGCTGCCTAACTGTTTTCCTAGTTGTTCCTGAAATATACTCTTAGCTTGACTATCATTAAGTAGGCCCCTAAGAGGTTTCCTTGCATCATCTTTCCTACGTCCAGTAAGACGCAGGCAAATACGCGCTCACACTAGGGCATGATCTGAATCTAAGCATGTGCTCCAGAATGAGTGACAGTCTTCTATCGAGCCCCTCCATCGGTGGCTGATAGTGATGTGATCTATTTGGGTCCAACGTTGGGACGAATTAGGGGGTCGCCATGTTAAAAGATGTTTTTCCTTATGCTTAAAGTTAGTATTTGCAATGAACAGGCGGTTATCTGAGCATAGCTGCAACAGACGGTCACCATTATCCGTTCTTTGAGCCGCGACACCATAAGATCCATCCAGGTGTCTTTCCCTTTCGCTTAGTTTACCTACTTGAGCATTAAAGTCACCGGCCAATATTACTACATCCGAGCGCCTAGCTTTTTGTAAAACTCATCTTCTACATCATCTGAACTGCAGTCAGTGGGAGAGTAGGCAGAGACGACGAAGAGGCAACGACGAGTGTCCCTATCTTTCCGAGTCCTTATTGTTCCGTTCAGTCGGACAGCGCACAAACGACTGTCTACTGGAATCCAGTCTAAGAGAGCTAGTTCAGCCATAGGACTCAATGCTATACCTACGCCAGTGAGGTCACGAGAGGCAGCATCAGGGCTTCCAGATACATGAAGCGTAAATCGAGTTGGTTCGTTACTTTGACATGGCGAGGTCAACTGAATGACACTACTCGGATCCTGTGTGCGCGTTTCGGAGACGCAGCACACATCGATGGTGCGAGATTCTAAATTCCTAGCTAAGGAAGGTTGTTGTCCTATTTAGTACAGTGTTCGGAAATTGAAAGATCCTACGTATAGTTTAGAACATGGTTTCAGAAGACCAGGAATAACGTTCCGCGTACTCGAATCGTTTGCCCTAGCGGTGCGAGGTGATAAAGAGACGTGAGGAGGGTTAGTCGTGGAGATAAGAGAGGTATTAGGAGGTGTAGGAAGGATTTGAATGTGACCAACTTGGCCTCGTGTGTTGTTACGGTATGAGGGCTGATATCACCTCCCGGTTGCCCACACCGTGGAAGGGTATTTCTTGAGGAACCTGAAAAAGAAGTCGTATTAGTGTTGGTCTTAGCGACCTGCAAGCGCGACCGCAGAGCCCAAGGGACAACTGCTTGAGGCCGGTCGCTCACGGTCTTTTTGTGGGGGGTTTTTAATGTGTCAGCTCCGTTCTTCAAAGGGCCTTACCGACGGAGGCGGAGATCCGTGAGGTAAGGTGAGGTGTGACATTTTTAGGGTCGACCTTTTCTAACCCCTTCCTTCCTTGTGAGAGGGCAGCATCGCTGCAGATGCTGGTTGTCCGAGGGAAACAGCTTACTACTGTCACACCCCTCTACAGTCAGCAGTACGACTTCTCCCTCAGACCTTGAGTTGCTGCTTTTAGTCTTACCGTTCTCCAATCGACCTGCCTGGCATGGTAGAACCTACAGAAACATATGTTCCAGCCAATATAGCTCGGTTGGGTCATCACGATAGGCAAGCCCGACCACCACGTCAAGGTAGCAGCTACGGTCGTGAAACCGGGCTGGTGGGTGCGTAAGACTCACCTTGGGGAGTTGGAAAACTCTGATTTCAAAGCAATATTGTGTATAGCTCTAGTATCTTTAGAGAATGAATGGCGTATGTAACCATTTTCGTTACTGGCTACCATGTAATATCGTCTCCAGAGGTTGTTCTACTCCCTTTTGGATTAAATTCTTAGGTCAGATGCCCTTGGTGTGGTCTCTCAAATAGTCCACCTGTTTAAGTTTAAACGCCTGAGCAGTTTTTCAGCTCGCACACCAATATTATGTAGTGCATATTATTCATTGTGTGTATTAAATAGATAAAAATACTGACTTAACCAATAAAGTATTCTGCTGTTTCCTCTTAGTTTTTCTACTTCACTTTTATGCTTCGCTAATTTCGTCGAAATCGCATATATTTTCCGTTGATTGTGTTGTTCTCGTTTACATCCATTCTAGACTGATAGGTTTTCGTAAATTGTCGACTGTCGATCAGGATGCAGTTGTTTTGGCATTTCGTGAAAACTCAAAGTATGCTATTTATATACACCTATAATGCTAATTATCTCTTTATGATCGTGTTTTTAATATTCACATTGTTGTATATAATCTTACCAACTTGACATTATTTTTACCATATTTCTGCTTGTTAGTAAATTATTTCATTTATTCCCCGACGGGGCTTATGTATATATAAAAAGTGGTGTTTGTAACCCTTTTCTGTCCTTATGAAATCACTTGATAAACAAATGCGTCCCCCTCGAAAAAGCACTACACTCGTGTACGTCTGATGTGTCATATGTACAATTAAAAAGTGTTTAGACAGATCAATTGCCATGTGTCCAGGTAGCATAAAAATATAAAGTGTATTTTAATAATGTTTAATGAAATCTATTTTCTGACTCAAATTGAGTTTTATCATTTGTGAATTTAAGTGTATATAGGTAGATGAATTCAAGATGAGTTGAATGAACTGTAATACTGGTAGTAAAATTTGGTGGACTGAAATTTGATGCCTTTTAATAATCTTACTCATGTACTAGCGTTACTGAAGGGCGCGCTCGTGGGAAGATCTCTTGACATCAGTTACTTATGACTTTTTTGTAATTGTTGTTGGTTTCATGGTATCATTTCTTACTTTCTGAAACCTTGACATCTCAGCGGAAAACCAGTATGGCAAAATGTATGATACTTTGTGTATCGTTCTTTGATTTTTTACCTCTTACTCTGCAAAATTACGAGTAAAATCTTAATCTCTTACTTGAAACACTACTTTTAGTCATATTGCTTTCCAGTTGACATGACTATCCTAGTTATTCCGGCTTATTTGGGACATCAAAATAGTGAAAATTAACCACTACGTCAAGGTGACAATACAATAAAATGTGTAGTCTGTAGGAAAGCATATGTTTTCAAACCATTTGAAAAGAAAACCACTGGGTCAGGATGTAAAATAGCAGCAATAACTATTCAGTATCAGTACTTTGTACCCACTAATGGTTAAGTTCGAGAACTGATTTCCGGAGTTCTAATGGGAAACAATGACCACATCGGGTGTAAGACAGTTACCCACAAATAGCACTGGAAGGTAGTTAGGCCCTATTGTCAATTGACTAAAGTTAAAAATGTAAGTCATTGCATACTAACCCAGTGGTCTTAAAAATGAAGTGCTCGTCACAAAGTCCTGTGTTCGATCTCCATTTGGTTGATATTTGCGTACCGCTGAGGAGTTTTGCACTGTAAAGAAGTGGATGTCCAGTTCTTGCTGCTTTCCAATGGTCATCTAAATTAAGTCAGTTAACGTTGTAGACTCTGAAACTCAATAACCTTTACGAACCGCTCACATTAATTATTATTAGAAAGACAGGAATGTACGTAAAAAACTGTTTTGCCAAATTATTATTCATGCAAGCTTCAGTGTTCTCAGTATTCTAATGTATAGACAATACTTTTCTTAATGACATTTAAATTACGGAAGATAGAGAGCGACTTACATCACATGCAGCTGGGTTAAATTGGATTCGATCAACCAACTATGTAATTCGAGTATTAGTTGATTCACTAAGTTTACCACTTTTTATTCACCTCATAACGCAGTGTGGTGTTTCTAATACCAATATTGTATATATTTTCATTTGTATTACATATTTTTCTGTATCTATATGTTAAGGGAAAATCGTAAACGTCCTGGACAGCAAACTGAACAAGATTCAAAATTGAAAAAACCTAAATTAAATGGAGATGTTGAACAGGTTAGTGAGTGAGTGAGTGAATAAATCAATGAATTGACTATTCTTTTATTTAATCAATACGATTACTACTGATTTAATATAAGTTTTACTAGTACAGATTCATTAACTCGGCAGTGAGTCACATTTACTGTATAAGGGTTAAAGATATTAACTGGTTGCACGAAACGAAGTAAATCAAACGGAGTTGTAATTTGCAGCCTTCAATTTAGACACCAACCCTTTCTCTCTCTCTGTATATATATATATATTGACAAATGCTTATTGTTTTATTGTATCCCAGGATGAATTACGTAAACAAAATAAATTATTATGGAGTTTAAGAGATAAACTAGAAAGTCAAGTATCCAAAGAAGCATTAATTGGTTTATTGGAATACAATAAACAACATGTTCCATCTGGATTATCTCGTCTATTAGATGCAGTTGCTGACGCTATGATATTCGGTGCTCTACCATATTGTCCTAGTTGTAAAAATGGACCATTACATTATAGTAATGGACAGTTTAAATGTAGTGCTATGGCAACTGAATGGGTTCAATGCCTTTATTATACACGGACACCTGATCGAAGAAAGTTTAAAATACCTGAGGAATATCATGATGTTGATTTTTTGTAAGTTTATTATTTTCATTGATGGTATAAACAATCCAATAGTCAAATTTGGTTTCTACATCTTAAAAAGTAAATTCACGTAACAGCACTGTAAAATATAATCTCTAATCCATGTATTGTGTAGTATGGCTTTGGATGTCCTACATATGTTACAAAGTGACTGAGATACAATTACAATTCACTTGAACTAGAATTTGGGCTTTCTCATTTTAACGTTATGTTATGCCATCTTGAAATGTGTCATCAAAGTAACGTACACATCAGTGAGGTTGATTTATTCGCACCGACAAATATTTGTCCCAGGTTTCGACATTATCTGTCACTGTAGGTTATATATGATCAATCTTCATATTGTAAGATCCAAGGTTGTTTTTATGTCGATATTGAGCTACCTTTGGCACCATGGGAACGATATTCTGTAAAATCAGTTCCGTTTTAAACCCATCAAACTCATAGTCATTAAGTAACCAGTCATATTTACAATACAACCAACGTAATATTTGCACAAGTAAGAAGGGAAAGGGGTCGCATTTTACGACAAAACTATTAACATTCTTGCTGTAAAAATTTTATTACAGAGAACATCTGTGTAGATAAATAGCTAAATAATAAAGTATCAAAAGCTAAGAATGAAATATAATAAGTGATTCAGCAATTAAAAACGGAAGGAACAGTAGATCAGTTCCCTTTAAAAAAACTATTATTATGTAATATGTAGATACGAACAAACAGGTTTCGATGTGTTGAGTGGTTAGCGGTGATTTACAGGAAGCCCATAATCACGCTACTTGATACTCATCAGAAGGAACCTATCTACAGTTTTTGGTAGAGTTTTGTTCTCTGAGCTAGTTGGTTTGGTCATGGAGCTTTCATCGTTATTCTGAAAGACATCATCAGCACAAGCTGCAGGTAGAAGTGAAGTGTTCGAATTTTTCCACATAGGGGCTCCCAAGTGCCTCGGTACGGCTGAAGGTCGGGAGAGTTAGGTCTCCTTCTCGAAATGCTCTCACATGGCCACGCGTATACAGCCACTGCCAGGGAAGTCCTACTCACTACCTTCTTGTTCAAGAGGGCGAGGACACACTTGCGGCGCGGAAAAATGAACAAAAATATCTAAAGACTATCTTTTGAAGAACAGCTACCCAATCAACTTCACCAAAAAATATCAACCAAACGCATCAGCAGAAACAAAATCAAGTACAGAAAACAACAAATGAATCATCCTACCATATATAAAAGACATATCAGAAATAACAACGACGTTGTTGAAGCCTTTTGGAATAGGTGTAGCACACAAACCAACAAAATCTCTCTAATCAATCCTATTCAAACCAAAGGCCGAAATGACAAAGGAAGAAAAGCCGAACATCATCTACAAAACAAATTGTTCCAACTGCGAAAAACACTACATTGAACAAAGCGGACGCCCTCTTCATCTTCACCTGCACGAACACGAATTAGCGGTCAAACGCCATGACATATTCTCGCTTATATCAATGCATGTGGTCAACTGTGCACATACATTCGACTGGGAAAGTGTTGAGATCTTGGGTAGAGGCAATTCCAAAAACGCCATAGAATTTTTAGGAGCTTAGCACTCAAGTCAATCAACAAAGACATTGAAATCGATTCAATTTATCAACCAATCAGAAAAATTATGGACAAATATAGGACCGACAATCAAATCATTGGGAGATACAATCAAAATAAAGGAGTAGACAATGTCAGGTTAAACGTCAGCAATAACCAATCAAGATTGAGGTTTACAGGACAAGCTGTGAACCATGTGGAGAAATCAGAACACTACTTCTATCTGAAGTTTGTGCTGATGATGTCTTTCAGAATAACGATGAAAGCTCCATGACCAAACCAGTCCTCAATACATTACTCTTGCTTGCCTGTCATACTAACTCGTTGATCAAACCATATTAGCCCGAATACTTATTCATTATTATGTATTATTCCCGGTAGATCGGTCCGATAACAGTAAACCAAGAGGGCTGAAGTTTACTTCTGAGAATAAATACATAACTACTAAATGTACTGTTGATAGCGTGATAAGTTATGCTGAAATAAAGACTTAGATTTTCAGATTCGGGCAACAATCTTGATTTGCGTCGTTTAATAATAATAATAATACTATGTGATTGCCCGAAATGAATTTGGTGCACAGGGTTCGCATTTGCAATATTATGGTTAAAAGCTCTAAACCCCTTTACAATTGGTTTCATTTGTTTCGCTTAGATTCACCAAAAATACTTCTATTTTGTATACATTTGTTGGTTCAATTGACTCTTCTTCCATTGTTTTTCAACTTAACCAGAAAAAATTACAAATATGTTAAGCGTACACGATTATTTCCACCTGATTCAGTGTCTGATGTTACTGGTCCATTAACTGGCCTGTTTTTCTACATTACAAATGGACCATTCGACAGCGGAAAAACAAAAGAACAATTAATACGTGAATTGGCCAATCTAGGTGGTGCTATTATGAGTAAGGTATGCACTTTAACTGCTTATGTCATTCTTTATTGTTGTTGTGTTTCTTGTTTTTCACAAAATATTAGAGAAAGATAGTGCCAATACAGGTTTGAACATTCAAATGTATATATGTATGCATATCATCCTTCGGGTTTAAGGTTCAATTTCAGTCCGCTTAAACTACTTTGTTAAATGAATTTTGTATAACTTTAGCACTCAGATTTAGTTCAACAGATAACTTTCTAAAACTTAGCTCCCCTTAATATTATCACTATTTCTTCTAGGAAATATTTAGTGAACAACGTATGCAAATATTTCTCTGACACTATAATCGATGATACTGTTGACATTTATATGTCTTCCATTTCATCAGCAGAGTTGATGGAGTGATTTATCGCATCAAGCAAACAGAAAACCCATTTTTCAATTGATGTTAGATCCTTGACCGGTTTCTCCAATAATATACAGGAGAGAAATTGTCTCCATCTATGTTAAGGCCTTGACACGATAAGTTAACTGGTTCAACCTTGTGTTTGAAATTTTTTTGAGTTCGAACTGAGGCTAACGACCTTGATCAGAGAGATGAAAACTTTTCTATGTCCTTGTTGGTTGACAAGCGAGAAAGAGAAGATAAGTCAACTGGAACACTACTCTATTTATTCCTAATTCAGATTAATGTAAGAAGATGTGTAAATAAATTGATGACTAACACGACCACAGCGCACAAACTTATAGAAAAATTCAATCATAACCAAACTTAGACATCACGATAGAAAAATGTGATACAAAGGATTACGTTTAAATTACAATAACTTTGGAAAAGAAAAGAGTATGGGAATGAATTATACATCAAACGAAAGCTTATGGTTTATAAAACAAATCAGTGACAAAACTAAGTGTTAGTATTTTACAAACATTAAATTAAGTGAAGTCATGTTCTCCCCCCCCCCTCCCGCAAAAAACACATTAGCTTCCGTTGTTCATTATGACTTCTTTATTTCTCTATTAACATTTATTGACGTAAGTTTAACTGAATTTGTGATAAGTCCTGAGTTTGAATCTCGCAAGGCGCGATCATGGATGCGCACTGCTGAACAGTCCCACAATAGGACGGAACGGCCGTCCAGTACTTCCAGGTTTCCCATGGTAGTCTAGCTTCAACTGACTCATGATCTCAACTATTAAAATTACTATGATTACCTTCCTTTCTCTATCTTTTCACAATGTAATTTTAATCATATGGCGCATACATATTTTGATGCTAATTTTTCTACCAATATTTATTTGTTTAAATAAATACATAAATCGGATCTACGAAGTACTACTGTTTGAAAGTCATCTGATTCAACCAGCCTCTACCTTTGTGTGTAGTAAATATATGCTATTCAAGTCAGTCAACAAAGATTTTCTAGCTAATCCTTTTCTCTTGAATAATATTTCTCAGTTTTAGTGGTATTGTATCTTCTGAACTAAACGACTTAATTGTATAGCTTTCATTTTCTTTCTGGACAACATCGGCGCCTACTTCATGTACAAGTGTACTTCTTAATGTTGTCTCAATTGTTGAACTAGTTCGTTCTAATGGTCTTTTTTGTGACTGACTATCTTCATAGGTTTCGTTTTTTTATTTCTTCTAGTATTCAAGTTGACTATTTAGTTCGGTTGACCTCCGATCATATCCTTGATCTCTACCGTACGGTTTAATGTATTAGATGTTTATCAATTGGTTGTCAGTCTGAATGTTGTACTTTCATGTATTCTCTTGAATTCTTAGAGTTTCTGTAATCTAGAGAAATATTGAACTTTTCTTCCTAGCCACATTCATGTCGGACAAAATACTACCGAAAGCCATCCACCTAAACCGCATATATTTTAATTCCTGAACCTATTCACTATTCTACTGCTTGATTTTTCGTATAAACCTGTTGATTTTTGTGTATTAATCGATCACTTATTAAAAATTGTGGGAATCCTATAGTGATGATGACAATAATAATAATAATAATAATAATAATAATAATAATAATTATTATTATTATTATTATTATTATTATTATTATTATTATTACTCGCATTGTAGCTCAGTGTTAATTCAATTGTTGTCTCCACATTGAACGAATTGGAACAAATTCAAAGTGATAATAATGATACGAATAAAACTTACTCGAAAGAAGCACTGACAACTGCACGTTCTTATGGTTTACGTGTCATTAATGAACACTTCTTATCAGAATTCAATCCTAACAGTTTGGACTCTAAAAAATTGGAATCGAAAATCCAGCAACTCTTAGCCAAATATACAATATGCAATTGGGAGGTGAAGGTATGTACACTAGACGCGTATTCAAACATCAAAACACAGTGGTTGTCTCTGGTGTTGTTTTCTTTTTTAATAGGAATTGTTTATTTACATTAAATGATATTGTCCATTAGCACCCATTGCGCACTATAATTTTAGTGATTAGGTAGTAAAAAACATGGCCGCTGCAAAACTCCAAGGTTGTGGGTTCAATCAGTGATAGTGTTGTAGGTGCATACACTTCTGATAAGTCACAGTTCGTTTAAAAATAGTTGTTTGGTGCTCCTTGGTCTTTAATAACTGTTCATAACCAAATCTAGTCAGTCCATGATGTAAACTATCCTTTAAATTGATTAGTCTCCACAAATCTCTCGTCTTAACCATAAGAAATATGATTTGGAAAGTGTGAGTAACCGGTTTGCATAGCTCGCTTTGCTCTTATTAGCATGACTCACTTATGGCGTAGGCAAGATGTCCATCTGCCTGACGAGCATACTGCGCATCAATTTGTTCTGCTCTACTACATCACTGTGGATTGTGGCTTTTAAAAATGGGCTATTAGTATTTGATCATAGATAACTTTGATGCATATGTAGTGCATGTTTGGATCACTGAGAGTAAGCCCTGTTGAGATTACATGCATGTTGCTAAATAAACATGATGAATCAGTTGATTAAGCAGTAAATCTCTATTGAATAAGATAGTTGGAACATGTACTACGTAGCCTTGACCACAACACGTACCTCGACGTGATATTTTTGTCAATATAGGAATAGATTGAAAGGAAGCTAGGGGGAATGGGCGACCAAATCAAAATTTCCCCTAGCTTTCTTCCAATCTATTCTTATATCAACAGATATCATGTTAAGTTAGGTGATTTGGTTAATGCTACGTAATACATGTCCCAACTATTTTATTTCAGTTCATAAAGTCATTGACTATTGAACTAAGCTGCGTTGGTTGGTTAGTTGGTTAGTGCAAACTATCAAGTTAGGCTTCTCTCGATCGATCATGGTTGTAGATGTTGCATAGTATAGCTGAAATATCAACCAGGCGAATTTTACTTACTGACATATTAGAATATTAAATCCGGTATACATTTTTTTACATTCCTTACTTTCTTTCGCTATGGATTATTACAACTACTGGGATTGTTCTTACCGGAAGGCTCGTGCATTAAAAGGTAAATATATATTTATATATGGTCTTTTTAATGGATTACTTGATGCATTGATTTTTATGTATTTTGTTTTACTAAACAAAACCTTTTAATGTTTTAACCTGGTGTTATTAAGAAAAAAGTGGGTTGGGCATTGCTAAAACAATCACACGGATTACTTAGTTCTTTTTTGTGTGTTGATAATAATGTTTTACTAATAATAACGGTAACTTCAATCGCTTTTCTTTTTTCGAAATTCTAAATCTTGTTTACATGATCTTTGGTCTGTTCTTTTTTACTGATTGGTTTTTCAGTAATTTGTGGTCCGCTAATTTTATGTATGTCTCAGGTTCATGTTCTTATTACTACATATATACTGAGTTAAATCATTTTGAGTTCTTTTGCCTAAATATCAAAATTTCTACATTTCGTTTTCTCCTATTGTTAACGGTTAATGGTTGAATTGTTCTTTGTCCCTGTAACGTGCTTTGGTTTGGGCGCCTGGGCAGTATCATAGATCTCACACAGATCAATAATAATTGCCACTGGCCTCATTGTTATTATGTGACGCATATGTATTTGGTGCCCCCTTGTACCATTGTTTATGTGCTCAAATAAATAAAAAATAAATTTTTGTCCCTGCTGCCACTATTGAGTTCACAAAAATCGTTCATATTAGCTCGATTGTTTACTAAATCTCAAGTTCTGTAGACCTGTACCAAACTTCAAATATCTAAGGTGTGACAAGTGGAGTAGTCATGTTATATATGTCTGTGTAAAAAAAGTTGACTGAACTATGAAGAAAAAGATATCTCTAATTATCGTGTCGTACTGTACTGTATACAACAAGGATCAACTGATCTTAGTTTTAGGTTGTTTAAAAATGTAGTTGGTAAAGAGCAACGTATTTGTCCTAAATTGAGTTCTTTACAGTCTCAGACCGAACTTTATCTAATATTTTGTAGGTCAATAAAGTTTTAAAGGTGAAAATCGTATTTGTTGACGATTAGTGTTTATTTATTTGAACACATAAGCATGGGTACAGAATGGCACTGAATACATATACACCACACAAGTCGCTTGATTTGCGTGTGAGCTGTGATACTTTCCGGGTGCCCAGACCGAAACCGGTGGTTTTCTTAGGGGACCACACCCGCAACTCTCGACCTGAAAGTCTGATGCACAAGGCAGTAGAGCAACGTCAGGAGATGCAGTTCCATGATAGCCGGTAACCAGTAATTGGTCCATACACCATTTGTTCCCTCGGGATACTGGAGCCCATATGCACCATTGATTTGGAATCAAAATTTTTCAGCTTCCCTGGGTGGACCCCCTATATACACCAACCCGGTTGAAGCGCCAGACATTCGCTTTCCATCCTCTCAATTTCGTAAACCTCCACCACGAGAAGGCGATGAGTAGGACTTCCCTGGTAGTGGCTGTATACGCATGGCCATGTGAGAGCATTAAGAGAGAAAGACCTCACTATCCCGACCCTCGGCCGTACCAGGGCATTTGGGGCACTTCACGCTTCGAACTCTGTGCAAAATTCAGTAGCCTCGATCCTTAATCTGATTGGTTTGTCAGTGTAGTACACTTTCACCATTCCTTTTTGATTATCCTTTTAGCGTTGACCTTACATAAAATAGTATGCTAGGTCCTTCGCATAATATACATATTAAGTTATACTCAATCTAGGCTTCAATATATTTTTTTAAACGATCACACAACTGCCAATATTGTCCTAATGTTTGTTTACCTATATAGTTGAGAAAGAGGTGAAAAATTTACTATTGAATGATGATAACGGTGAACAAGAAATGATGCGAATGATAATGAAAAATGGTGCAGTGGTCGATCCTCAATCAGAACTGGTCAATAAAGCCACAGTATTGAAAGATGAGAAGGGAGAATTCATGACTGCTGTACTCGGTATGGTTGATTTAATCAAAGGTTCCAATTCATTTTACAAGTAAGTGTAGAGATATATTTGTGTAATACATTTTTTTGTTGATCGTGTGCGCGCGTGTAAGTTATAGTGTCACTTCAATTTTCTCCTGAAAGCACATATTACTGTTTATCAAGATTACGACAGAAGGTTCAATGTAATTATTTCTGAATGATGGCCCTATACATACAAGAAGCCTGTGATTTCTTAATAGACGTTGTTGACTGTACAACTAGTGATTAATCCTGACGAACACTACTTGGGGTTGAAAACTCTCTATAGACTCCACCACTAGTAATCGGGTAAAGAACCTTCTCAAGGTTTAAATATTTTCCTCGTACACCTTTTAATCACAAATACTGTGTCACTAAGTCTCTCATTCAATGGTGTCCAACATCGCTTTAAGGTCATAAAAATACAACTATAATCAGACTTAAATGAGCAAACTTATGGCTTTCCATAGTTTACTGTTTCCCAACTTCAAATAATCGTTTGACTAGTGGTGTCATATCATAAACTAACAATCGCTTCGCTTTTTTCTATTTGTTCCAGCTTCAAATAAGAATGCTCATTACGAATCCCATGTATAAAACGTCTTCACTGTACCCTAACAGGTGTTACCAATTTTCAGCCTAATTGTATGTTGATGCTACAGTACGTAATCAAACATTTGAAGATAATGAAGGTTGAAAACACCCTTTGTTCAAAGAGACCAAGTTTTTAACGTATGCATGGCACGACTACTCGACTGTAAACTTGCATAACTAGTCTCATTATACGAGGTTGACAATTATAACGTCTTCGAAAATGACCCAAATTGCTATAAGTCGTCCTATCTTCATTATACATAGATTGATCTTATCTGCTATATCGTCATCAATAGTGTTGCTTCACTGCACAAATGCACTACTGCTTGACTGTTTCTTGCGTCTCATTAGTAAGAGAAAGTGTATGCACAAGCTGTTGCCATCTTTTAATAAATACCTTGTCTTTAGATTGTACGTTATATGAGAAATGATCAAAATCATCCTGTGATAACGTAGATGGATTAGTTTGACTAATATGGCGTCTGAAATTTTAGCCTCAACAATTATCGGACGCCTAACAAAGACTTGTGAGCTAACTGCAAGTACTAGAAAACCAGGCTGGCTTCAGACCTGGTCATGGCTGCATCGACCACATCTTCACCATTCGTCAGATTTTAGAACACAGGTTTGCTTCTCGGCGTCCGACAGTGTTTTTTTGTGACTTAAAAGCACCATTTGACTCTGTTGACTAAGAGGTTCTGTGACAGTGTCTGTCATTGAAAGGTGTACCTCTGAAGTGAATGCTATTTACTCGAACACTATCAATACGGCGAACTGTCATGTGATTTTGCAACCTCAAGTTGTGTCCGTCAAGGTTGTCTACTGTCCTCATTTCTGTTTAATTTCATCATAGACCTACTGCTAGAAATAACTTCCTCGTCGACCGTATTTCCGGGCATTGATCTCCTTCCAGGATGTCCGCCTACCGACTTACAATACGCAGATGACATAATCCTGTTTGGTGAAAACGCTGATAAAATACAGAGTCTTTTGGTAGCACCGAGCAACAATGCGTTTCTTCCCCTTTAAATGCAAAGTGTTTCAGGACTGGCCTGCGCCAACGTCTGAACTAAGGATAGTGAGTGAAGTATTCGAACTCATCCATAACTTCACTTATCTTGGAAGTTTGATCAGCTCTAATGGGTTGGTGTCTGGCGAGATCTCTGCACGAGTTCAAAAAGCCCGTTCGACTTTTGCCAGCTTACGTTACGTATGGTGAAGGTGAGATATCCGTCAATCAAGTAAGGGACGAGTATAGCGTGTAGCAGTTCTTTGTGTTCTACTTTACGGCTGCGAAACGTGGTCATCTCATTTCGTTGTACATATATAATTTGCCAAATTGAACTAATATACATGTATGTCCCAGGTTCTACTTTCTTTATGAATAACTGACTGAAGTGAATTATTCTAATTCATTCAAAAAATGTATTAGTGTTATATATTTTTTGTGATTATGTCGTCTGATATACAGTTTTTTTCTATATTAAAGCACTACAGTTGTATATAATATTGTCCATAGTACCCTACTCCATATGATCATTTGTGCTGGTTACATTTCCTAATATCCCTCATCAATATATCCGTTTTTTCTCATCCACTATAAATTATTGAACAATTATGTGTTTTTTTTCCAAATAATAACATCCTCCTTTCCACTACAGACTTCAAGCGCTTCAATCTGATAAATCATCACGTTGTTGGGTATTTCGCGCATGGGGTCGTATTGGTACATCGATTGGTGGCACTAAAATTGAATCGTTTCCTAATGCCACTTCAGCTCGTTCAACATTCAAAGAGATTTATTTTGAAAAAACTGGCAATGAATGGGAGGATCGTAAAAACTTTCGTAAAATGCCACATAAATTCTATGAGTTAGAATTAGATTATAACTCTGTAAGTGAACTGTTATCTTTTTTCTTTTTTCTTTTGATTATTAAATGGAAATCAAAGATACGGCTTATAAGGTTGATCACAAGCGGGGTACCATTGTCGCTATTGGCAGTGAGTGGTCGTTTCACTTTTTTGAGGATTGATTGCAGATGAGTCTGTGCTACTGGATACCGACTCAATAGTTCTTACGAGTAAATGTTCGTTGAGTGACCTGAAGGTCCTTGCTTTCTGTTCCTGGAGAGGTTGTGGGAACACTGTTGAGAGTAGTCCCACGCTAGAGCCAAATAGTTTTCCCTAATTCTCAATGGTACCTTAATGGAGATCAGTCTGTGATGAATACAATCTACAAATTAAACCAATCTCCCGGAAACTACCTCAATCAAAAACATAGTTGTTTTCCTTAAAAAAAAACATAAGTACGATGGAATAACAATGGGTTCACGGAGTCGTTGTCACGCTACGAACTCAGCGGCTTACCAAATGTATCTTAATTACTTCTTGAAAGGAACCGGCTAAAGTGCAAATCAATATTTTAAGTCATCGGTCAATGAAATAGAGATTTTTCTACTCCAGTTTTAACACTCATATTATCATGTGGTTGGATCAACCCAGTTAGGCAATCAGTTTTGTTATTGAACTGATCAGCACAAATCATTTAATCAGTATTGTTTATCTTAGCTTTGGATTGTTTAATAATGTAGTTGGTAAAGAGTAAAGTATTTGTTCTAAATATGAGTTCTTTACAGTCATAGACCATACTTTATCTAATATTTTGTAGGTCAATAAAGTTTTAAAGGTAAAAATCGTATTTATTGACGATTAATGTAAATGTTTCAATGATCGTATCAAGATCTGCTTAATTATATCACCTCGTAAACCTGAAAATTTTAAGTTCGATCCAGTGGGAGACTGTGAATACACACTATTGAAGAGTCCCAAACCTCTTTAGATATGTTTAAAACGAGATTGGACCTCCATAGTGTTACCAACCACAAGGATTAATATAGGTCGGTAGACCTCCTATCCTTACTACTGAAAACTGGAGATCACTATTTCTATTGATTACTCCTAATAGATTGTAGTATCATCTGCCATTACTTCAGTTGAGTATATATATTTCACTCGCGTATATCATCAGTCTAATTACACCAATATTCTTGAGATGTATGTGTTTGAAACGCTGTTGGAATTGATGTAACCGTTCTACGAAAAACTACGGAAATATAACTAAAGAAAAAATGTTAAATTAGAATGCGTCAATATTAATTCTTCTGATTTTTATGAAAAGATCACTTCCAATATGTTTGAAATTGAATGATTTCAATCCTTATCCCTGTCGTTACAAAGCATGTTTAACTGAAGCATTCTAAGAAAAGAAAGGTTTCTTCTTGAACCTGGATCAACATATTTGTTAAGTATGTCACATGTTAACTGAACTATTGACTTCCTACTTGATTCTAGGTTTCCCCGTAAAATTGAAATATCTGGGATAACGATGAATAAAAATACTGTCATTATACTGCTTAAAGTATTTGAAATGATAGCGAAAAACTAACTTTTGCCGCTGTTCAGTAAAATGATAGCGTTAAACGTATCAAATACTAAAGTTTTTCCTTGTAGGTTGTATATCACAGGAAAGTTGATATTACAATTGAATGCTAATCCCAAAAATTTAATGGTGAAACAACTCTTAACCTAGTGGTACTCTTTTTTTTCTGGACGAGCTAATCGAACAAAGTTTCTTGGATTTAAACATGTAGTTTACTTATCGAAAGCAATTTTACATTGTAGTCGATATCGATTCCTTTGAAAACCCACACTAAACTCCTTAGCCCCTGTCCTGAATACTTGACCCTGAGTAGAAACAATGTTTGGAGGCTTCTTTCAAATCACTGAATAAATTGCCATTCTTATGCTAATAAAGATTTTATTAATGTAGGGAGGATCTGTAAAGACTAGAATTTTTAGAGTTTTAAGTCACTATCTGATCTTAGCTAGATTACCATTGAAAACCTGGAATCACTGAACTGGTTGGTCGTTTCGTCTTAGTATAGGATCGTGTATGCACACTTCTGGAGAGTCCCTTTTATCACTGACCGTCGTAAAAACAACAAAACCGTGCTAACACAAGTCCAGTTCATTGACGAACCTATTCGTAATTCGTATTCTATAAAGACGTTATGCTAAGATTTCATCTATATTACTTACGTTGATGTGAACCTAATCATACACTTTTAATCCATGTGTTTTTGTTTTACAGTCAAAGAAGAATGAAATTCAAACTATCAGTAATATACCATGTAAACTACACCCGGCTCTACAATCGCTCTTAAAATTTATTTGTGATGTTAAATCTATGGAAAAAACAATGGCGGAGTTTGAAGTGAGTTAATTTCTTTGTTGTTAAAGAAAGGAAGGTGATCTATTTCTTCACTGTTATTTTCCTTTACCCGCTAGTTATATCCTAGGGCGCTAATCTATATTACATGCTAAAGTCGTCAATTCGAATTCTGGTCATAAAATTCTCTATCTCTCGTCTACTGTTCCGTCTATAACCTATTATCATAGACTTAGACTTGACGAATTCTGCTTCCTATCTAACACATTCAACCTTGAGCCGATGCAAACTAAGCTCCTATTGGTCTACTATCCACAAGCTTTTTCTCCATTCCCTACCTAGAGTTCCAGTAGTAGTCAGTGGCCGCCTAATGTTATATCATATTTTAAACACAGGTGGGTTTGTATGCAAATATAAACTGGACCACATCCCCCCATAAATTGCCAAATTACAATCATGGATAGACAAACCAAAAGTGCTAATGAGCAACAACATTTCATGGGTTAAACAAAAGCTTACGATAAACGGAATATATATATATATATATATTAGTCCATCAAATATTTCCAAGGAGCTGATATTTCTTCAGTCTTGGTTCTGATACATCACTGTCTTTCATTGGTTATTTCATTTTTGTGATGAGAACAAGATCAACTGTGTTTAAGCATACAAAACCCTAGATATTTTAGAATTTTAATCGCAATACACTGGCTGTTTTTTGAAGCTCTACTATCCCAAACATGTTGGTTGTAAATATTAGGCTTGAGGACAAAGTTGTATTGCCATTTATACTAGGGTGTAGTAACATCTGAGTGTTTTCCACGAACAATCAACATTTCCGCTCATGTTACTTTCCCGAAGACGGAATAGTGTATTGAAAGCCGTTGGTCGTGAAAATACCACACCATTTCTAGCATGTCACCTCAGTGTGGTTGTCTGATCACACTAGTTTAGTGGAACTCCTCGACAATATTCAATATTACTCAGAAAAGAATTTTCAAGTCTTTTGAGAAGTCTAATTTGTTTAAATTATCGTATTTTCGATATTTTCATCAAACATATTTACTTTTTTCTTCCAAATTCATATGTTTTCAGCTTGATCTAAGAAAAATGCCTTTGGGTAAACTGTCTAGTAATCAAATTCATGAAGCTTATGATGTATTGAATTCTCTCAGTAAACTTGTTAGTTCACGTCCTTCTACTAAACAACAATCTCAAACATTGGATCGAACACAAATACTAAGTGAATCTACACGTTTCTATACATTGATCCCGCATGATTTCGGTTTCAAAACACCACCAATGTTAGATAATAAGAAAATTATTACCAAGAAAATACGCATGTTAGAAGATCTGTTAGAAATTGAATTAGCTTATAAAATGCTACAAACTAAAGGAGATTCTAAACGTAATCCATTGGAAGAGCATTATGAACAGTTGCATACTAAATTAGAGGTGAGGTAAAATATTGTTACCTGGATTCTCTTGTTTATTTTACCTGCGTGACCGTGTTATTTAATTATTGATGTTACTAATCGCTTTCTTTTCTGTCTATGTGACCAAAAACGCACTCTTTGACCATTATTATAAACACAATGACTGAAAATTTCAATCTACATTGGTCCTATCAAGACACGAGGATAGCAACGATATATTCTGTGACTGGGACCCATATGTGGCGGATACGATCTACAGAACTCCACGAAATCCTTTCAACTAGATTATTCGGTGTATATTTGAAATCAAATTTACGGTAGTTTTACTCACTGCAGCTCATAGAATAATCAATCCATCTTAGGGTTTATATTCAATGATAACTTTATGTTTGTATTGATGAACAGGTCCGTTTTATTTTGGACCTATACATTTTACTGAAAAATAGATGAACCTTGTCATACTCACTGAATTCAATGTAATGATTCCACAAATTAATAAGGTTACTACTTACGTGACCCTGTTATTTGTCCAGTAACTAACTGTGACAAGTAATCTAATGTTAGCATACGTTTAAGAAACACTTAGATCATAACTGCTAATGAATACTTTAATATTCACAAACTGGAAGGTTTTAGGTCATTCTGTTTTTTCAAATTCACCGATAGTCCTATCTTAATAAAAAAAAACTGTTCGGCACTCAATCCCAAGGGTGTTTAACAGTGCAATTGACTTACAAATAAAAGTCATTCAGAGGGGCAAGCAAAGTGACTTCAAGGTCACATGGTCCATATATCAAAATATTATATTGTCTATCGTGTTTAGATGATTAACTTAAATTACGAGAACGACATTAAATATATAACAAGTCAACGTTAAAAATAAAATTTTGGATTCATGGAACATATAAACTAATCGTAGAACATTATTCTATTTTTAAATCCCAATGTTAAACTTGAATCTTAGTACTAACTGTAACCATATATCTCAAATCCGAAACTTTAAAACCCATTCGTAGTAAAAGAAATCATTCATTCATATTTCCTGTTTTTCAATTGGCTTTCCTTTATGATGTATGGCAGGGCATAGATTGGATTAAATTATGGTCTATGCAGAGTCACATTAGAGTACTCTGATTGGGCGATTTTTTAACCTAGTCAGCGCTAGCGGATAAATAGGGAAGACTCTAGAACGTTCCTGTCTATAAGTTGTAAATATACTGAGAATATTCTTATGGTAACATCAACTTTGTTAACTTACTGTTTTGTTTTGGAACATAGTCACGTTCCTGTTAATGTGGTAAAGGAAAAAAATGTCAAGTTTACATATTAGGACTGTCGGGCTAGTGTTGTGAGTTAGGGCTATTATGCAAAAAAGCCTAGGACTAAGTGTTAAGAGTAGGGCTAGAGTTTTGATCTGAATTTAAAATTAGGATTTTCATCACAAACTGATGTCAGTCATAATGTAATGCTTTACCATCCTGTTGCTTACAAACATAGGGTTGAGATTTATAGAGAAAGTTGGAAAAGGAGAATAGAATTTAGTTTCATTTAACACCCCCAATTACCCTGATACGGCCGAGAGTGAGGAGAGTCGGCTCTCCCTCTCGAAATGCTCTCACATGGCCACGCGTATTTAGCCTTTGCCAGGGAAGTCCTACTCACTGCCTTCTCGTGGCAGGAGTGTTTGCGAAATTGACAGGACGAAAAGCAAACCGGGTTGGTGGACACAGAGAATCCACCTAGGAGAGTTGGAAAACCCTGATTTCAAATCAATGGTGTACATGGGCTCCATTATCATGGAACTGCATCTCCTGACGTCGCTCCACTGCCTTATGGATCAGACCTTTAGGTCGAAAGTTCCGGGTGTGGCCTCCTAAGAAAACCACCAGCTTCGGTTCGGGCACCTGGGCAGTACCACAGCCCTCACACAAATCAAATGAGATTTGTGTGGCGCATATGTATTTGATGCCTCCTTGTACCAATATCTGTGTTCAAATAAATAAAAACACTTGACTACGCATCGGATCACATTATGTACGTTAACACGTAATCTACCTTTGAAGTAGATATATTTTTTTCATTTATTTTGAGCAACGTTCTAAATTCACACTTGGGTAGCATAATAGATGTTTTTATTGTTTTCGAACATTCTAAAAATCAATTATTGTCAATTTTCATCTAGTTAATATCAACACACAAGTTACTTAGAATCGATAATCGTATTTCTGTGCTTATGTGGTATAGCAACTTGAACTGATGTACGTACGTACGAAGTTCTACGTTGTTACTCACTGACTGAACACAAAAGTTACCTATCATTGCACTTAAAAATTTGCACAAAATCCATGAGAATTTATCTTGATTCTGATCGATTAACTCAGGGATGTCAGTATATTATACTTTTACCCTTTTAAATTACATAGACTGAAAATATTTGACTACAGATGAGCTCTTCATCTAAAGTTAGTTTCTGAGTATATGTGGATAATTTTACACAATAATGGTCCTGTCACATTTGATTGGTTATTGACGCTACTTTGCCAGTTTTTTTTCATTCATCAAACTCCGTTCACAAATTCGTTCATTTATGATATAATTAAGAAATAAGCAGTTTTACTGAACGTAACACTTGATAAAATCGTACAATAGACACTAAATAATCACTCGATAATCAGGTTGGTACAACTAAACACTTAATACGGTAGATAGAATGAATAAAGATGACATAACCTACTGGACTCAGCTGTCTAATAACTGTTCAAGGAACCGAATTCAATCAAGCATAAGGGTTACAGGTAGTCATCAAATGGAGCACAAGCAGGAAATCAGCTGTGTACATAAGATAGTCTTATATAATTACTATAACTAGATATGTCTATCCCCGCTCAATAACCAACCAATTATCTGCACAGAATAAATGAAATGTGACCAGTAGTGGACGCGCGTTTCGTCCTATGTGGAATGTACCTGCATCCTATAGTTGTTCACTTTGGGTTTTGAACTCATTACCGTTTGTTTCAATTATTCCTTGATCACTTTTCACCCTACACACACCACTTTTATTAATCTGTCAAGTTGTACAAGTGACCAGATAAAATTTATTCTTAATTATAGTAATTTTCTTCAAATAAATAATTGAATGTATGTTTCTTCATTCTTATGCGTAAACACACAGCCTTTAGATAGTAATTGTGAAGATTATAAATTGATTTTGGATTATGTACGTGAGACTCATGGCGCTACACATACACAATATACACTCGAAGTATTAAATATCTTTGAAGTACATCGTGATGGAGAGGATAGTCGTTTTGCCAAGTGTAAAATTGCTCAACATAATAAACAGTTGTTATGGCATGGTTCACGTCAAACAAATTGGATGGGTATATTGTAAGCTTATTTTTTTACTTTTCTTTCGAAAGTTGTTTTTAAATTTTCTAATCTCAGCTATAAAATCATTGAGTCCTTTATTTATTATGTTTAGTTTTTGTTCGCCAAGATAGTTTGTAAATTGAATCTTCAGCTATCATTCATACCATGGCTTCTGTAAAATATGTGCGCTAATTCCAACTCCTGCAACTTAAAATACAAGCAGAACAAACTAAACTTCTTATAACTTATGTCTATCAATTATCATGTGAAAGAACCGTCAGTCAGAATATCGACTTCTGTGACCTTGCCCCTATGCTAAACCAATGACATGTCAGTTTTGAGTCGACTCTGAATCTTGTTTGGTCGGCTGTATAGTAGCCTATCTCTTAGCCCTACCCATGGAGTCCAAAACACAATCTCAGCCTCCATTGGTTAAATAATGTATTTCAGACATACGTAATTTATGTACATACAGACCGGACCGCATCACACCATAAAATGAGGAATAATAATTATTCGAAATCAAGCCAAAATTGGCTATGGGTAGGACAGATTGTAGCTAATAAATTGGGAATAAATTAATAATAATAAATCGTATAGTAGCAGGAGGACCTGATACACTTGACACTAATCACTACCCAGTGATCACTCAATTGTAGATACATCTCAGTCCTGCAGGAGTTCATTCTTGTCCCGGATAACTCAGTGGTAACTCTTCTGACTGTGAAGCTGGATGACAGGGAATGAGTGACGAATAGCACGAAACCTAGGTTCAAGGTTTCCTGTCGACTACCTCCAACTACCACTGGGTATGGAGTATCCACCTAGAGGAGATGGAAACCTCTGATTCCGAACCATTGGTGCACAAGGGCTTCAGGATCTTGAAGAAACAAATGGCATATGAACCTATATTTGGTCACTGGCTGCCGTGTGACCGCATCTCCTAATCGTTTCTTCAAAACCTTGTACATTTTACCTCTAGGCCAAAGGCTCGTTGAATAGCCTCACAGATTTTTCTAACGCTACGTAATTCGGTTTGCATAGCTTAACTTCCATTCCCACTATAAAAGTAGTTCAGACATGAGTAGACTAATTTTTCATTTTACAGTTTACAATTCGAACTGACCTTATTTAAGCAGCCAGTGGAAACCGGAAAGCACTAGATAGTCGTCCCATCCAATTGTAGGACTTCTCAGCAACACACTTCCACAATCCTTCTAGTTATTGAACTCAGAACATACAGGTCTTGTGACAAACATCTAACCATCACGAAAATTATTGGATCGGAGTGTATCTAAACCTTCATCGATTTCTATATTCACCATGTTCTAAAAACTCTCGCACTTACTATTTGTATTTTCACTTGATGTCCAGATCTCAAGGTTTACGAATTGCACCGCCTGACGCTCCAGTTACTGGTTATATGTTTGGCAAAGGTATTTATTTCGCTGATATTGTCAGTAAATCAGCTAATTACTGTTTTACGACACAATCTCAACCGGAAGGACTCTTACTATTATGTGAAGTTATCCTAGGTGATATGAATAAATGTTTACAAGCGGACGCGAGTGACTTGCCACCAAACTATCATAGTCGTAAAGGTGAGTAGTCCAATACTTTATCTTTTATTCTTTCGATTTCGTTCTCTGGTATTGTTGTCAGACTAACTGAAATAACCCACTCATTGAACTGCACTGATGACACTCCCAAATCACACTTGCTAGGGAAACTCTGGAAGATATGGAATCTTTCATGTACGTAGACAGCATCACCGACGAACAAGGAGGATCTGATGCAGACGTAAACGCACGGATTGACAAAGCAAGGACAGCATTCCTACAGTTGAAGAATATATGGAACTCGAAGCAACTGTCAACCAATATCAAAGTCAGAATCTTCAATACAAACGTCAAGATAGTTCTACTGTACGGAGCTGAAACGTGGAGAATTACTACAACCATCATCAGCAAAGTACAGTTATCTATAAACAATTGTCTACTTAAGATACTCAAGGTCAGTTGGTTGGATGCCGTCATCAACAACTTAGTGTGGGAGAGAACAAACCAGGTTCCATTTGAAGAGAAAATTAGGAAAAGACAATCGAAATGGATAGGACATACATTACGCAAATTATCAAACTACATCACGAGGCAAGCCCTAACTTGGAATCCTGAAGGGAAAAGAGGAAGACCAAAGAGCACAATGAATCGAGAATGGGAAGCAGACATGAAAAGGATAAATAATACTTGATAACATCAGGAAAGGTTCGCCGATGAAAGAATTCGATGGAGAATTCTGTTTAGCAGCTTACAGTTTATGGGGGTTAACAGGCTTAAGCATTTAATAATAAGTAACTGATGGTATTCACAATCTACCTTCATGTGATTGCTGATTCATCAGATTTATCAAAATAACACTACTAAGGTTGAATCAGACCGGATGAACTCTTGATTTCTTTGAATATTTGGAATATGACTATGTACGAATAATTAACGGTTTTACAGTTCATAAAAATTAGTTTTATTTCAGAAAAAATCCCACATTCAAAGTGTTAAACTCAACCACAAGACAATCAGTCAACGATTAGCACATGCACAAAACTCACCAGTTCACATTGTAATATGATTGGACAGTTAGAATATGTATCATCAACCAATAATAAAAGAGCAGCCAGATTACAATTACGATAATGCAATAAGAAGACATAGTTTATCAGAATTATGTGATATATTTGCGCAATACATTTCGAACAATCTGATCACACATATACTTGTTAAGAACATTTATATATGAAAAATTAAAAGGTCAACTAGACAGGTTAAGGGTAAGTCATAACAAAGGAAAAATATTAAAGTACACAAAAACAAATATGATTACCACTCTGTCTATCCTGTGATCTTATTTCACCATTGGAATTCATCTGATTCTGCAACCATTTTGGTATATGCTCACCCACCCTTAATTGCAATTCACGATTGCTCCTCCCTACGTACGTGTTTCCACACATACATGTAAATTTATAGACACAATGGGATGTGACACAATCGTTTTCATGCTGTTTGGGCTTTTGGTGAAACATAGACCTTGTCTTTTCGATAATGACAAGTTGGGCTGCATAAAATGTCCGGTTGATAGATAATTTAAGTCTCTGTTTCAACATGAGACTATTTGTGTCACCTCTGAATGGTAGCGTAATATAAACTCGCTTTTTGGGTGCCAGAAGCGTCATAGGTCTAGTCATATTGCAACCCTTCCAGCGGTTTATGAACTTCAAAGGGTAACCATTATTGATTAAGGCATCGGTCAAGGACCATTGCTGGCTGATGTGTTCATGGGATATGTGGAAAATTTAGTTGGAGACTCAATTCGAAAGATGGGTCTGTATAAACGATATGTAAATGACATAATAATCATAGGTGATAAAATTGAAGACATAAGCCACTTGCTAGGAGAATTCAATATTAGTCAAAAGCACATTTCTCTTACATGTGAAGAAGAGAAGAACAACCAACTTCCTTTTCTTGACATCCTGATTACTAGGAGAGATGATGGTTCTATCAAACGTGCTACATATAGAAAACCAACATGGACAGGACAATATCTTAATTTTCATAGTCACTGCCCTATTCATTATAAACGCGGTTTAATAACAAGCTTATTCAATAGAAAAAATCGTATTTGTACTAGTGATACTATTGAAGTAGAGATGAAGCTCTTGACTGATGCCTTAATCAATAATGGTTACCCTTTGAAGTTCATAAACCGCTGGAAGGGTTGCAATATGACTAGACCTATGACGCTTCTGGCACCCAAAAAGCGAGTTTATATTACGCTACCATTCAGAGGTGACACAAATAGTCTCATGTTGAAACAGAGACTTAAATTAGCTATCAACCGGACATTTTATGCAGCCCAACTTGTCATTATCGAAAAGACAAGGTCTATGTTTCACCAAAAGCCCAAACAGCATGAAAACGATTGTGTCACATCCCATTGTGTCTATAAATTTACATGTATGTGTGGAAACACGTACGTAGGGAGGAGCAATCGTGAATTGCAATTAAGGGTGGGTGAGCATATACCAAAATGGTTGCAGAATCAGATGAATTCCAATGGTGAAATAAGATCACAGGATAGACAGAGTGGTAATCATATTTGTTTTTGTGTACTTTAATATTTTTCCTTTGTTATGACTTACCCTTAACCTGTCTAGTTGACCTTTTAATTTTTCATATATAAATGTTCTTAACAAGTATATGTGTGATCAGATTGTTCGAAATGTATTGCGCAAATATATCAAATAATTCTCATTGCATTATCGAAATTTATCAAAGCGAGTAATTCTTTGAGATTACAATTAACCAATCAGTTGTAAGGATGGAATTTTGTAGTAGAAATATGCAAAGCTACTAACGAGTGGTTAGCAAACAATTTTTCGATATATATATATGATAGACTGGGCATGTGAGACAGATATATTGGTACGACTAGTGGTTTAGAGCTAGGCAGATTGTAGGTCAGACAGTAGTTGTTTTCTTTCTAACACAAATACAAGCACTTCAGGTACAGTGTGAATCTCCGATTTTAAATCAGCGAAGATAATCAGAAGGTAACTTAATAACGCTAAAAATCTTGCTGATAATGATAATCCTACATAGCTTTTGCTGATTGATTTCTATTACCGTTTTATTTCGCTAAATTTCTCTATATTTAAAGGTCACGTTTTCATTACCATATATATGTACACAGAGTTGTATCATTTCACTTTGTTCTAGTTTTGTCTTTTCTTTCTGTGTTGAAATGTTTTTGTATACTACTAGTTGCTCTTATCACGATTCAACAAAATCTCTAGTGAAGCAGTTATATTAAAATACCCATTTCATATTATAAAATTACGAAGCGGGTGTCTATTTTCTCTATATAACCAATCGCGGCTCTCTTTCACCTATTGTCCTTTTCATTCTTATTTATCTAGGCATTGGGTCAGTTACTCCGGATCCGTCGACATTTCACACCAATAAAGATGGTGTTGTTTATCCTATTGGTAAACCGATTGATTCAAATGTAGCAAATACCACTTTGTGTTATAATGAATACATTGTATACCATGTATCACAAGTGAAACAAAAATATTTAGTTCGAGTGAAATTTCATTACAAATGAACAACAAAAACGAAATTGTTTTTTGTTCACAGCTAAAAATTGTCATCTCAATTACTCTATTTCTTATATCAATCGTTTTGCTCATGGTGTGTGTACGTGTCGTTGATTAATCTCGGTGCGTTTATTACATACAATCAATTTTATTATTCTCCGGTGTCTGAATCATTTCGAGTATTATTTTCATTATTATCATCTATAGAGCTTAACATATATACATTCGTATCATTCATTTGAACTCCTGAGATCATTTAACAGAGTCAATAAATCAATCAAATACGTTCATGCTTTTGGTTGTTTCTTTTTTTTTTCTAAAAAAATTCTTTTTACAAGTACTAGTGTTGAGAGGGGAATAGTTTTGTCGCTCAATGGACTGATTTTAGTGGAGGTACATTCCGTTCTCTATCTGAACTGACGGAGATTTGAACGTTATGATAGTCTGACACTCATTTGTAAAATTTACTGCCGAGGACATCCTTTGGCGAATGTATAGCTGTTAACTTGTGGAAACTAGCTTTTTTCATGAAATTCTCCTATTTTCAAACAACAAGAAAAGCATGTTGAGTTTGTGGTGAACACTTTTTTTTAGTTCCAGGGGTTGAACTTCTACCAGGAGATTCACTTGTTGACTTGGAATATGCCGATGACATAGTTCTATTTAGTGAAGACGCTGACAAAATGCAGTCTTCTGACCACTCTAAGCAACAATGCAAACATGTTCGGCATGCGAGTCTCCCCCTCGAAATGCAAAATTTCGCTTCAGGAATGGGTTGTATCGGTACCCGAACTAACGATAGGGAGTGAAGTAATTGAGTGTGTCGACCGCTTCATGTATCTTGATCTTGGAAGTCTCATCAGCCCTTTTGGTCTGGTGTATGACGAAATCTCAGCACGGATACAGAAGGCTCGACTAGCTTTTGCCAACCTGCGTCACTTATGGAGTAGGCAAGATATCCGTTTACCAACCAAAGGACGTGTTTACTGCGCAGCAGTTCGTTCTGTCGTACTTTGCGGCAGTGAAACGTGGCCGGTAAGAGTAGAGGATATTCCTAGGCTACTAGTATTCGATCATAGATGTCTTCGAAACATTGCTCGTATATCCTGTAACCATCGAGTAAGTAATGCAGTTGTTAGGAAACAGGTACTAAGTAAGGATGACAAATCAATTGATGACGTAGTGAAACTTCAGCAGTTGAGACGGCTGGGACATGTGTTACGTATGCCCAACCACCGACTGCCTCGATGTGCTATGTTTTGTTGTATAGGAGTAGATTGGAAGAAAGCTAGAGGCGGCCACACCAAAACATGGCACAAATCGATGAAGTCACTGACAAGTGGACTGAGTCATGTTGGTAGGTGTAGACTACCTGGTTGGGGATCGCGAGATGATATCAACCGATGGTTAGAGACCCTGAATTACATACCTCAAAATCGTTTGCAATGGCGCAGATGCATCCACTCTTTGTGTTCTCCCAAATTCTAATCTTCTGAATTCTTTATGTCCCTTTTCTTTTGTCTTTCCAAATTTATTTCACTGGATTATGCTCCTTAAATAACATCTTCAAACCCTAATTTTTCTGATTACTGCTTATAATTTTCCAACCCCTACCACTACGGGATTTGAATGGACAACTGCATCTCTGTGGTAATGTGGTGTGGCAACTCGAACTGATGTGCGTACGTACGAAGTTCTACGTTGTTACTGACTGACCGACTGAGTTCAGTGTTCCAATGTAGAGAAGAAGAAGAAGAAGTAGAACATATGCTTATAGTTCGTCTTTCTTTTCTTTCGAGAATTCATCATTCATACCTGATTAATGATTCGTACATGGTACTTGCTAGCTTGAATAAATGGACAAAAGATCGGGATTCAAAATGTTGAGTAACAGTTATAAGTAGACTTTAATGACTTCATAATTAAAAAGTTACTGAAGATGTGAAAATTAGTTGTAATGAGAAAGTATAATTTTCTTTTCACGTTTTCAAAGTGTAATACGACAATACTTTGACTCAATACACTAAATATAGACTGCATCATATTACACCTGAGTATATGATTTATAACAGCTGAGTGATAATAGACTAGATATTTATTTTTCCTAGTACAATTTTTTTTCAGTCCACACATAGAAGAAAGTTTACAATGAAACCAGTGTAGAAATCAATGGAAAGGAGTTATTCACAATATTTAGCAAAATTGAGCATTTGTCTTCATTCCCTGCTTAAATCACAATCGCAAGACCATTGAGGAATGTAAACATAACCTTTAGGAAATTCACCAACCTACTTGAGTGTGAAGATGGTTATCAATGAATGTATGAAATCACAATCAAAATGTAAAGTTTTCCATTGCAAACGGGCATCAATTCTAACGCCGAAATGCTATTTAAGCATATGGATGAATGAATTTCGAGCCAAAATCCAATACGCGTTTTCTTAATCCTGATTGATTCTTGCTTAGATTATCATCTGTTTTGTTACTTTGAATGATTTAATAAGCTCCTCATCATCATTACAGCTAACCGAATTCAGCATGTAGAAAATGCTTGTAATACACTTCTCCAGAGATATACACGATGTTCGATAAAGTGACCCAATATACAATTAAAGCAGTTTTGATTTCTTCATTACACACTGAGTTGATCCACATGATTTGTTTGCAAACTCTCTCTCTCTCTCTCTCTCTCTGCTATATCCGAACGAAGACTAAAGGTATGGTACCTCCCAGGAACAATTTATGGATGTACTTTGATTTTATAATTACTAAGTAACTAAATTATATTATTAACAGTTTGTTATTGACAGTGTCTCTACTCACAGCCACGTTAATCTTGATCATGAATAATTATTATTTTTCGTTTTATGATATGATCTAGTATGTTTTGTATAGACTACGTCCTCTTGGAATATAATATTCATTCACTGATTTCGGTTACTGACTGGAGAATTGTGGACCAATAAGGACCTAACGGTTGTCTGCAGGTTATCAGTTGTGGTTGTGTATGTGTAATTGATCAACTCATAGATCTGCGTCAACACCTGAACTAAGGATAGGGAGTGAAGTAGTCGAACGCGTCGACAATTTCACTTATCTTGGAAGTCTGATCAGCCCTAATGGGTTGGTGTCTGACGAAATCTCAGCACGGATTCGAAAAGCTCGCTTGGCTTTTGCCAACTTACATCACCTATGGCGAAGGCGAGATATCCGTCTATCAATAAAAGGACGAGTATACTGCGCGGCAGTCCGTTCTGTTTTAATTTACGGCAGCGAAACATGGCCATTAAGAGTAGAAGACACTCGTAAGCTTCTAGTATTTGACCACAGATGCCCTAGAAGTATTGCTGGGATCACCGGGTAAGTAATAGTGAGGTTGGACGCAGGGTATTAGGGAATTTATTTATTTATTTATTTATTTATTTGAACACATAAATATTGGTACAAGAGAGCGCCAATATATATGCGCCACACAAAACAATGGGAATTCGAAGAGAAGTAGAAAGAAAAAAAAAAAAAAAAACTAAGGAACGCAAAAGAAAAAGAGAGTAATGACGAAGAGGTACAATCAGAAGAAATCTTTCAGGTAAAGGAGACACAACCACTTTTTATGAAGAAAGTAAAAGAAGGTTACAGCAGGATCGCCACTGGCTTCTATTCTGAGCCATATCTGATAACGTCTCTAGCCACTGTGTTGCACCATCTCTCGGACCCCAACCAGGGAGTCGTGAAGGACCAACACAAGCCAGTCCTTTGCAGCTTTCTTTCATGCCACGACACCATGTCATGCACTGACCACCTCTCCGCTTCTTCCAACCAGTCCCAGAGTCGGCAAATAATGCACGACGTGGAATTCTCTGGGACGACATTCGGAGAACATGTCCAAGCCACCGAAGTCGGTGTTTCAAGATGGTGACACCAATTGAGTTATCATCTCTGTGCCCGAACACACGATGCCGAACCTCTGCATTACTGACATGGTGTTGCAATCCTTCGGAGACAGCGATGATCGAACACAGAGAGTCGTCTAACGTCCTCAACTCGGAGAGGCCAGGTTTCACAAGCATAGAGCAAAACTGCTCTCACCGACGCGTTGTAGATCCGGCCTTTTACAGCCAGACTAACATCACGAAGGCGCCAAAGGTGGCCCAGATTGGCATAAGCCGCTCTGGCTTTCACTATACGTGCATTGATCTCATCACTCACACCCCCACCAGCACTTATGATGCTACCCAGATACACGAACTTCTCAACTACGTCTATCTGCTCACCATCCAGGGTGAGTACAGGATTAGAATCCTGCCAGTCTTGTAGAAGTACTTTGCACTTCGAAGGTGCAAAGCACATACCATACCTACGGACATTGCCCCCTGAATGCCCTGGTACGGCCGAGAGTGGGGAGAGTCCGCTCTCCCTCTCGAAATACTCTCACACGGCCACGCGTATATAGCCTCTGCCAGGGAAGTCCTACTCATTGCCTTCTCGTGGCGGGGGTGTTGTTTACGAAAATGAGAGGACGAGAAGCGAATGTCCGGCGCTTTAACCGGATTCCAAACCAATGGTGCACATGGGCTCCAGTATCCTGCGGGAACGAATGGCGTATGAACCAATCGTTGGTCACCGGCTACCATGGGACTGCATCTCCTTACGATGCTCCACTGCCTTGTGGGTTAGACCTTTAGGTCAAAGGCTCGGGGAGTGGCCCCCTAAGATAACCACCTGCTTCGGTTTGGGCACCCGGGCAGTATCACAGCCCACACACAAATGATGAACTGTTTATGTTTATTAGGGAATTATGGTAAATCAGTTGATGAGGTTGTTAATCTTCATCGACTGAGATGGTTGGGCCACGTGTTACGTATGCCTGAACACCGATTACCACGACGTGCAATGCTAACCGGTGTTAGAGATGGTTGGAAGAGTATTAGGGGCGGCCAAACCAAAACGTGGCATCAGTGCTTGAAGTAATTAACTTCTAGTCTGAGCCATGTTAGTGGATGCAGACTACTTGGTTGGGGTCCGCGTGACTCTCTTAACCAATGTTTGGAGACTCTTGGTGACATGGCTCAGAATCGATCACAATGGCGTAGGTGTATACACTCTCTATCTTCCCTTAAACTAAGAGATTAAAATCGCTTCATATCTTTCTTTCTACGAACTAATTCTTTCTTCCTGTACTTTATCCATCCTTATGTTCAATCTTTCTTTTATATATTACCACAACTGGATTAACTAATTTTATGAATCCGGTGTCCATCTTGTTGTGTTAATGAGGTATGGCAACTTGGACCGATGCATATATGTGCCTGGTCCTACGTTGTAGCTGACTAACTGA